TTTGTAGACAACGAACATCTAAGGACGATAACTGTGTCCTCGGACCTGTTGATATGTCGGTCGGAGGTCGGGGGGGGGGGGGGGTATGGCGTTGTTAAACAAAGTTGACTTTAAACCATTTGTATGTAATCTTAGTGAAAGGTATGGTTCTTGTTGTCTTCTATAAATTCACCAAGAACCCAAAAGTTTTGATAGCCAAAGATAGATAAATACATTAGACGTTATACTAGTACAACTTAATGGGGATTGGGCTTCAGAAATAGTCAAAATCATAAAAGGTCAAACTTTCCTGAATTAGAAATATCTCTATAACATCAACATTACATAGTTCAGATACTAGTATATCCCTATGAGGGCAGCATTTATTTCCTGGGTCAGAAATATCTCTTTGAGGTTAACATTGCCTGGGACAGAGATATTTCATTAAGGTCCACATTGACTGGATCAGAAATATCTCTATAAGGTCAACATTCCCTGGATCAGAAATATCTCTTTCAAGTAGTTCTGTAGTATGTTAAAGCGTTTTCTTAACACTGAACCTTTACTTTTGATTATACATTTTAGCATTTTTATTTTAAAAAATAAAACTGTTATGTTCCACTCATATTTTTTAAATAATTCATAATTTCGTGTTAGGATGTTACAATGTACAAAGTATCATGAACATCTGATGAATCATTTAGGTGGACCTGCGTCCTTAAGATGCGTATTGAATAGTATGAAGTTTCTTTTTACAAAGGGTTATAACTCTGAGAATGGTCAACGGACCAGGATGCCCTACTAATCTACATGTTAAAATCTAACAATGTACAATGTTCAGTGAACTTAAGATAAAGGATGTAGGAGGAGATGCGTCCACATACTGAATTTTATTAAATTTTCTAAGGCAGGGGTCATAATCCCGAAAATACTAAATGGAGACAAAATCCTAACTGCTGCAAAGTTGAAGCATCATAATCTGTAATGTACTAAGTTTGGTTTTAAATTTGACAAATGACTCAAAAGTTAGTTCGGACAGACAGCCAGACTGATTGTTATATACCCAAACTTTGTTTGCGGGTGTATAATAAAACTAATAAGATTGTCACATGTAAACGGAATACCATTCTGCACGCCTTATAATGTGTATGGTTGTTTGAAAATATGTCGAGTAACTTGTACATCAAATTTTTTTAGGGTTCTGTAATATGAGGATGTGACAAGATTACAGAAAAAAAACCACACTAACCTAAGGGGCGGAAAGACCCTTTTCGGGACATCGGGATCATGCCTTTTATTTTCGCGGGAAATTGGGATTTACACTTATCGGGACTCGATAACTTGAGAGTAATTTTTCGGGAACCTGAAAAGGATGCTTTATTCTTTATGGAATTCGGGATTCAGAGTTTATTTTTTGGGGAATTCGGCATGCCATCCCCTTCTAATTTCGTTTTTTTGTGGTGGTGCATTGTGTTTATAATTTAAGAATGACATGTCGACTGGTGCAAGTATCGTGATAAAGATTGTTTACATAAGGCCGATCACAACCATGTCGAACTCGACTGTGACGACACGCGTCCATATCCATGTGACGATCCCATGTCTTAAGGATGTACTTAGGTGAAATTAAAAAAATCTAGAATTTAAAATTGATACTTTAAGTCAAAAGAGCATAAATTGAGGAACAAAATAAGCTAAAAATATTGATAGGTTATGGAACTCCTTTTCGAGATATTTAATTTTTAAAAAATGGCGGGAAAAGGTTGACTCGGACTTTTACCTTATATTTGCATTGGTATTAGTAGGGTCTCAAATCGAAAGAAAAAAATCTAGAACCTGTTTAAATTTTGGTAAATGACCTTTTATGAGCTATTAGAGTCTAATATGAAAAAAAACGGGTGTTATGGGGCAAAATAGTTTACCTTGTATCGTAGGAAAAAACCAAGGAGTCCGAACATATGACAACAATTCCTAAATAAACCGATCACCTAAGTACTTCCTTAATACGACTGAAAATTATTTAAGTCGTACTCACGCGATTGGTTTTGTTAAAGTATAAACAATCTGTAGATTGTTAAATGCTAATGAATAAAATATTGATTGAACATTCCTTAATAAAAAGAAATTTAAACCTCTGCGACCAAATAACTCAACGGTTCATTTTTAGTATATCTTTATATTATTTATATGACAATGATACTGATCAAAATCTAAATATATATGACATATATTGTATTTTCAACACAAGCATTTCGAAACATACTAGAAATAAAATAACCTTTCATCCTTTCAAGATTATAAAGGGTGCATTTCTTTCTAACCAAAATTGTGTAAACGTTGTGTGCCGTTTGTTATCGTTTGCTAAACGCTTCAAAAGTAGAAACAAATACAGCGTTTAATTAGTGTTTACTGACCCTGTTTGAACTTTCAATAATGCATGCACATGTTATTGGTAAACAGACTTATTACAAAAGTTGAAACAAATACATCGTTGAATCAGGCTGACGTTAGAAACAAATGTAGCGTTTGTTCTTACAAACGATGAACGACAAACTGTAGACGCATTTTTATAGCGAGTGCATAGTTTGTCAAAGTTTAGGTAACCTTTGCAAACGTATGTTAGAAACAAATGATCAAAACATGTGCGCGCTTAGCCGTTTGTATCGTTTGTGTTAGAAAGAAATGCACTCAAAGTAAAGTTAAAACACTACTTGGAACCTGCATGAGTGCACCTCTATTCTTGTTTTAAAGATGTACAGGGTAAAATATTTTGCCCCATAACACCCATTTTTCATTTTAGATAAGACTTCAATGGCTCATAAAAGGTCATTTACCAAAATTTAAGCAGATTCTAGATTCCAATACTATCAGTGGCGTAGCTAAGCCATTTTTAAGTGTACGCCCGAACATCGGCAAGAGGTTTGAGGGTTCCCAGCGGGTACAGGGCAAGGGACCTTCCAGCAGGGGTCCGACGGAAGCTAACGATTTATTGAAAGAGAGATACTATTTCTGTCATTAAAACTCATCAATAGCAACATACTTTAAAGTCTAATTTCTTGATGTTTTCATGTATAATGTATTCAGTGTGTTGATTTGGAATCTAATGGCCAATAGTTGTTACTAGTACTATGAAATATGTTTAAAAGGAGATGTGGGGTAAAACAATCAATCGACCAAAGATCCAAACCTTTCGAAATATAAAAAAAGCAAGTCTATATTTTCAATGGTGTCGTTCTTTTGATTATTATGACTTATTCTAGTTTTTTCCCCTTTTATGCGCCAATTTCGTTAATGGACAAGTACATGCAATGATAAATCTCCATAGATGGTCAGGTGTGACATAAACATACTCAAAGGGTTCCGTGGAATCCTGTGTTTCGCCTGGGATTGCTGCTGTCGGTTAAACTATAAAAAGTGAATGCATTTATCAGTCAAATACAGGATTTAAAAGAAATCAAACTTTTCTTTAAATGTTTTTCTTGATCTTGGAAGATAAGCTTCTGTCTAAGTTTCATAACAATCTATGAAAGTTTACAAATGCAGCAGATGAAAAATATTTAATTCAAGACCGTCTGCTAATTGCCCCCCAAAAAATGGTAAAATACTGAAAAATGAAAAAAAATAAATTTTAGACTGAAATTTGCTGACTGTTGTAAAAGTTTTGAAATCATTTAAAAATAAAGAAATATATCTCGCCCATGCAAAGCTCTGATTCTTTTTCCGGAATTGGCTATACTTTAGGTACGTTTTATTTTGATCAGCTCTTCCAATGTTTTTATTAGGTTTTGGATTTTCAAATATTTCGGCCTCGAGCATCACTAATGAGACATTAATTGTCGAAAAGCGCATCTGGTGCAAAAAAACATCGTACAGTTGGTGATAACATTTTTACATAAAATTCGATGAAGTTTTGACAAAGTAATTGATGCGTAACAAACAATATCTACTTGTTAACTAATAAAAACAATGTTCTTTTCAGTAAAATGCGGAAAAATTAAAAGTAAATTTTCATAATTATGCTCTGGATACTCTTTTGATCATAAAAAAATTTCTGCTTATATTCTGTAAAATTTCATAAAGGTTTTACAAATTTATTGATGTTTTAAAAAAGAATTAACCACAGGCTGAACATAAATATTGACGACGCCAACGCCGATTACGGAATGTCTCGCAGGCTCGACAAAACTGCATATCGTATCTCAGCAGATAATGAATTGCTTTAAACTATAGGAAAGGGAGGATAATTCACAGTAGATTCAGATTTTGACAGAAAACGAACAAAAAAATAATATGATACCATTTGATTAAAAAGTAAATTTCTTCCGACTGTTATCTTCAATTACAAGTCAGTGGAGAAATAACTACATGGCTCATATGCTTTTAGCCAGATCTTTTAATTTATTTAGATTAAAATATTTTTTCTCCAAAATTCATGTGTACGCCCGGGCGTTTTGACGTAAACGTAGCTACGCGCCTGACTATTTGAGACCCAAATAATACCAATGCAAATATAAGGTAAAAGTCCGAGTCAGCCTTTTCCCCGCCATTTAAAAAAATCAAATATCTCGAAAAAGAGCTCCATAACCTATCAATATTGTTAGCTTATTTTGTTCCTTAACTAACATGACTAATGCTCTTCTGATCACTTATAGTATCAATTTTAAATTCTAGATTTTTTTAATTTCGCCCAAGTTCATCCTTAAAAGGGGTTGTGTTGTTTTTGCTTTAGTTTTCAGTGTTGCAGGTTGTGTTTTTTTAATGTCTGTGTTGTCCCCTACGTTTGAAGTCTTGTTAATCCGATGCCTGTGAAATCCCTGCGTTCACAATCGGTCAAGGTTTAGGGTAAGATAATTGATTTGTTCCGGTAATGCTGTCTTATGATCGACAAGAATCCTTTATCAATCCACTATATTTTGTATGCCTAATCACTGAATATTAATATTTTACAAGAGTAATGGTGTTGTCTGTTTTTATTCAACTTTTAATGTCATACTCTAATAAAGATATATCGTTAATTACAGAGGACACTTCCACGAATATGTTGATGAAACTTGTGGCTGTCTTGGGAAATCCAAGAGCTCTAAGAAAAAATCAGAAAGGCAGAGAATCAAGCAATTTAGCATTTGGTTCGAAGAGAAAGATGCTGCAAGACAAAAGACTTATGCACAGCGAAGATTTGACAGAGAAGCTATAAGAGAGAAAAGAAAAAAACGAGTCCGGTGTTTTCGAAAATTGTTAATTCCTACAGCTATTTGTTGGTTGGTTGGTTTTGTTCTAATAATGGGGAGCACCGTTCGCAGTCTCGGCGAAGGAACGATATTTTGGACTATGCGAGATAAATTACACATTATCGGTCCTGTTGTTTTGGGTACAGGATTGGTCCTTTTAATGTTAACAGAAGGCTGCATAAGTAATCACCAGACGAAAATAAGAAAGCTTGAATCGATTATTCTAACACCGGAAGTGAATATTGTGGTCAACGGCAAAGGAACCATGCCCGTGAAAAATATTAAAAATCCTGGGCAAAAAACTTTGAAAACTATTTCAGGTAAACTGCCTCAACTACAGAAAGCGAAAAAGGCCGACAAATCAACAGAGACTACACCATTCTTATCAGAAGATGAAGAACAAGCAGTTAGACCTAAAACATACTCATTCTCACAAAACATGGAATCAACTAAGACAACGGTGCACGTATCAACAATGAAACATCCCAGTGAAATATACAACGAAGATTATAAGTTGCCATCACTAACAACAGCAAACTTAATTGAAAGTGAGAAAACTGCTTTAGATACTGAGGAAAATATCGTTACTGAATATGAACAATTACTTAATGCAACCAAAGAAGACAACGACCATAATTTACTTGGAGCAATTGCATTAGATATTGACAATGGAAATTAGTAACATTTACTAATTCTGATAATTTTTCAACAGTTTGCTCAGTAAGATTAAGGTCGTTCATCATTGCATTTATAAGATTTAAGAATCCTTTTTACTGACATAGGAAGATTACCTCTCACCTCATCAAAATCACATGTGTATATAGTGCTGCTTTTATCATGGTAAATGCCGATAAAATTCGGAAATCCGTTTAAATTGTAGTATTTTTTCTTCTTGAAGAAACGAATGGCTTGTGTTCTTTAAATCATAAACCATCCTTAAATTTTAGCATCAATGTTATGCAGATATGATGATAAAATCATAAGAATAATAAAGTCGTCGTGTGGGTTTTATAATGTTATAAATCCACTTTTTTTCAGAATTGAGATATTCAGTGTCAAAGTCAAGCATATCTGTATTTGTTCGTAATCCTGTGAAGTGGCATATCAATGGATATTGTAAATTATGAGTGGATACTTGATTAATTTCTTTCTTCCTAATTGTCAATATTTGTTTAATAAAAGTACTAGAAGGATTAGTATCATTTTTGTCGAGCCTGCGACTTTTGTCGCAAAAGCGAGACATAGCGATCCTACATTCCGTCGTCGGCGTCGGCGGCGTCCACAAATATTCACTCTGTGGTTAAAGTTTTTGAAATTTTAATAACTTTCTTAAACTATCCTGGATTTCTACCGAACTTGGACAGAAGCCTGTTTATAATCATAAGATAGTATCCAGAGGTACATTTTGTAAAAAAAAATCCTGTTTATCCGTATTTTACTTATAAATGGACTTAGTTTTCTGCCAGTTAAAATTACATTCACTCTGTGGTTAAAGTTTTTAAAATTTTAATTACTTTCTTAAACTATCCTGGATTTGTACCAAACTTGAACAGAAGCTTGTTTATGATCAAAAGCTAGTATCTAGAAGGAAATTTTGTAAAAATTTATTTCCTGTTTTTCCGTATATTACTTATAAATGGACTTTTTCTTCCGGTAAACATTACATACAGTCAGCAGTTAAAGTTTTTAAAGTATTTATTAGATTCATAAGCCATCCTGGATTTTTACCAAACTTGGATAGAAGCTTCTTACAATCAAAAGATAGTATATAGAGGAACATTGTAAATAATTTTTCCCCCATTTTTGTTGAGCCTGCGACTAACAGCAAAAGTAGGCGAGACACTGGGTTCCGTGGAACCCTTACGAATTTTTGTATAAATAAGAAACTTTTGTAGAAAGTAATAATGATGCTTGGAGAAGTAACAGTTTAACGTATCATTATTACCAAATAATATATAAGAAATTAGTTTAATAGGACAGGAAATTAAACATAAACGATCTCGGGAAAACTGTCGTCTTAAAGGTGACTATAACCAAAAAATGTAACAGGAGGTATCTATACTTTAAACAAACACATATGAGCAAAACTACCAATTATATTGAAAAAAATTTGACATTTCTACCTATTATGTCTATTTGTATTGCTCACACATTTTTGTCAATATAATGGAATTATATATGACTGCCATACAAGTGAGAGGTTTAGCTAGCTATTAAACCAGGTTAAATCCACCATTTTCTACATATGAAAATGCTTGTACCAAGTCAGGTATATGACAGTTGTTTTCCATTCGTTTGGTGTGTTTGAACTTTTTATTTTGTCATTGGAAAGACTTTCCGTTTCGAATTTTCCTTGGATTTCGGTATTTTTGTTATTCTCCTTTTTTTTTGAAAATTGCTATCTTCTGCACATGAGACTATACCAAACATGAATCAAGATCTTTATTACTGTTCCTCATCTTGTAAGTTTGTAAACAATTCATATTGGTATGTTCACAGTAGATAATATCTTGTAGACACGTTGACTGTTATTATATAATCTCAAAGTGAATGGGGGCATATAGAAATATTAAAAGTCATATTCACTGTTTTATAGTCTTTTAATGCCTTTAAACAAGATTAATGTGTTACAGTATTTAAACATCTTTTGTTTTCCCAACGTACAACTCTGAGTGTATTTGATGAAGGTTCGTCCAGAAAAGTGCTTCAAATTAAGTAAATTAGATCCATCTAATATACTGGGATTTAACAATGAAACCATAAAAATATGTCAGCTACATGTAATGGTATTCATCTTTGACTGTCAGCTGATAGACCCCTGATGGCGCAGCGTTTTTTCAAAATGGTTGTATGGAAATGATATCAGGGGCGGATTCAGCCATTTTTAAAAGGGGGTTCCAACCCAGGATAAAGGGAGGGGGGTTCCAACCATATGTCCCCATTCCAAAGCATTGATAGTAAAAATAAAAGGGGGTTTCCCCCCTCCCCCCGGGTCCGCCACTTGATATATCAATAAATCAAATACTCTTTTAAATTTATATTCAATTTCAAATAACTTCTTGTTACAACATAACAAAATGATAATTCTAAAAACAGGTACATGTATGCTTACTTTTCCCTAAACAAACAAACTGAACATTCTGACAATAACATATGAAATGTGTATAATCCCCTATCATCAAAGACATTGTCATCTTCTAATACAGTCCAGTGGCGGATCCAAAAATGGGAGGGGGGTTGGACAATATCAAAACATAGTAAAGGAGTAAGTTCACGAAGGGTCAATATTGGACCTAAAATTTAGTGAAATTATCTGCAGAAATATGATCAAAGATGTGATTACAAAAAAAAGAAAAAAAAAAAAGTAAAAAAAAAAACAACAAAAAAACAAAAATCAACAAGCTCTAACACATTCAGTAGAACACCTATGATGTCATTATGACACCATAATTGTGCACTCTTACGATTAAAGTCGTAATTTGGACTAACATTTTGGTTATATAAAATATTTTTGTTGACTTCAAACGGCATTAGTTTGTGTTATGATGTGTATTAAACCCATATAATAGAAAAAAAAACCAAACAAATGCATCTTTGAATAACCAATTCATTTTGGACGAAGGGTGTGACCAATGTTTTTCAGAGGAAATATACCTTTATGTATTAAACATGTTAACTGGATAAAAACTTGTAAAAACAAGTAAAACGCTGGCATTGCAAACTGAGCTCCCCAAACTGCTGATTTATTGAAAAAAATCATATTTAATTCAAGGGTTCAAAATATTAATATGCTTGGAGAGATAAATACACACGCATCATTATTATTTTAATAACAATGTTCTTGACCTTTGATCCCAAAGTCAATACGGTTTCTTCCTCTTCACTATATCTTTCATCTTATAAGTTTGATATCTATCTTTCGGGGGATACTCAAGTTATCAACCGGAAACCATTTGTTTCGGACACACGGACGGAAGGATAAAGCATAAACATCACACTTTTGAAGTTGTCCACATTGTTGAAACAAATAATGGTCAGATATAACATTTTGTTTATCAAAATTTGCATATCTAAGATCGTGAATATAGGTTTTTTCTACTTTCTTTTGTTAAGTGTTTTTTGTTAGTTGTTTGTTTTGCTTTGTATCAATATAATGAGTCGAGCCCCTTTCAACATATTTTTATATTTTCAGTGTTCATATGTTGCGCTGTTAAAATCACTGCTCCAGGTTAGATGAGGGTTGGGTGCGCGCAAACATATTTAACCCCGCCACATTCCGTATGTGCCTGTTCCAAGTCAGGAGTCTGTAATTCAGTGGTTGTCGCTTGTTACTGTACATCATATTTGTTTTTCGTTCGTTGTTTCGTAAATACATTAAGCTGTTGGCTTTTTTCATTTGAATTGTTTTACATTTCGTTATGACTGGGACTTTTATAGATAGGTATGCGGTATATGTTTTGCTCTTTATTGAAAGCCGTATGGCGACCTATAGTTGCTTACATCTACGCCATTTGATATGACAATCATACCACATCTCCTTATTTTATATTTTAGATATGATATTACAAAGTTCTATGTTTTTGGCATGATTAAGACTTTCGTAACCATACTCTTCTTATGTTAACGAACAACAAAATATTTAATTACGGGCATTTATTATAGAATGCAATTAAACAATAGCTTAATTCGCATTTCTACAAGATTCCATAATGAGCATTTAAACTGGGTTTATATATGCCACTTGGCCTATTAACACACGACCCCATGCATGAACTGAACTTCGTATAGAAATATTGTTTTCACAAGATTCGCATTTCGAATTGATGTTTTATAACTTTCTTATGGATTTTCTGTTCAATTGGTGTAAATCAATTTCCTAAATATAACCATAGGAGAAAAACTTTACTATCTCAGGTTGATAACCAATTCCTCAATGTAAAATATTTAAGTACAAATAACCTGTTTACATGAATAATGATAAATGAAGACAACACATTTTTATCTTTATTGTGTGGCTTTTTAAAGCTTAACTTTGCAGAAAGAAAACAGCATAATTGTACTCAATTATAATGATCATCTACCTAGTAAAAAGAAAATGTTTATTTTAACAATCAGAGTTATCTCTCTTTGTTCACAAACTGGACTTTTATGATTTATGCTTTAATATATAATGGCTATTATGTATGTTCTAATGTACTGTATCTAATTAACATAATCAGAGCGAGCGGAGTGAGAAAGATTGGTATGAAAGTGTGAATGATCGTGTTAAATTTTGTAATGACCGAAAGGGCCCTATGATTAGGAAATAAAGAATTTGAATTTAAATCTAAGATATTGATCGCCTTAAAGGAGCATTCGACATTATCATAATGAATAAAGTCGAAACTGTAATTGATTCACCAAACAAATTAAATATAATATTTGAAAATAGAATCGAATGCTGTTTTTATTTGAAAATTTATACGAAATGAAAGAAATTGACCATCATAATTTGCATGAAGAGCTTATTGCTAAAATGTGATGGTTTCTTGCTAATTTGCAGTGTCATAAATTTACGTCTGAATCCGGTTTTGCTTTTTTCTGTTCGATTTTTTAGGTGAAATAGTTTAATTTTTATATTTCATAAGTATTTATTAGTTTTAATAATTAATTTTCGGATACCTATTTTGGTCTCAGTTCTATCAGTAAAATGACAAAAAAATATGCGACCTACAAGGGAATAGGCTCGGGGAGAAAAATGAGCGCCATCGTGTGAAAGGAAAAAAAATAACATAAGAAATATGGATAAGAACAAAAAATAAAAACCAATTAACACACAACGTTCTATTCCGGGATCTTCTTGATTCGACTAACATTTATGTTTGCTCTCTCTAATATATATGTCTCTGCTCTAATGAGTTAGATTGTTTCATGTAGAAGTCCATTGATACACACATACATATCAAAAGTCGATGATGCAAGTCATAAAGGGTATGACAGGCCCGGTATAGTCCGATCTCTCTTTTAGCATCATATTTATTTGATATTCACCATATGGTATCTTGGGTGGGTTTACTTCAAAATTTGATAGTTTCGGATTTTTTCCAAGTTTTCGTAATCGTCATTCTACATCTGTATCTGCTAAAAACCAGATTCTCTGATAAATTAAGAAATTATTACTCTACCATATTTTCATTCTTGAGTCCATGGCCTT